CATACTACACCACAATATCATGCTATACCAATATCATGCTATACCAATATCATACTATACCAATATCAAGGGTTTTTCTTTATTTTTTAAATGTTTTACATTGTAGAATAATAGTGAAGACATCAAAACTATGAAATAACACATATGGAATCATGTAGTAAAAGTGTTAAACAAATCAGAATATATTTTCTATTTGAGATTCTTCAAATAGCCACCCTTTGCCTTGATGACAGCTTTGCACACTCTTGGCATTCTCTCAACCAGCTCCATGAGGTAGTCACCTGGAATGCATTTCAATTAAAAGGTGTGCCTTGTTAAAAGTTAATTTGTGGAATTTCTTTCCTTCTTAATGCGTTTGAGCCAATCAGTTGTTTTGTGACAAGGTAGGTGGGGTATACAGAAGATTGCCCTATTTGGTAAAAGACCAAGTCCATATTATGGCAAGAACAGCTGAAATAAGCAAAGAGAAACGACAATCCATCATTACTTTTAAGACATGAAGGTCAGTCAATACTGAACATTTCAAGAACTTTGAAAGTTTCTTCAAGTGCAGTCGCAAAAAACATCAAGCGCTATGATGAAACTGGCTCTCATGAGGACCACCACAGAAAAGGAAGACCCAGAGTTACCTCTGCTGCAGAGGATAAGTTCATTAGAGTTACCAGCCTCAGAAATTGCAGCCCAAATAAATGCTTCACAGAGTTCAAGTAACAGACACATCTCAACATCAACTGTTCAGAGGAGACTGTGTAAATCAGACCTTCATGGTCGAATTGCTGCAAAGAAACCACTACTAAAGGACACCAATAAGAAGAAGTGACCTGCTTGGGCCAAGAAACATGAGCAATGGACATTAGACCGGTGGAAATTTGTCCTTTGGTCTGGAGTCCAAATTTGAGATTTTGGTTCCAACCCCCGTGTCTTTGTGAGACGCAGAGTAGGTGAACAGATTATCTCCGCATGTGTGGTTCCCACCGTAAAGCATGGAGGAGGAGGTGTTATGGTGTGGGGGTGCTTTGCTGGTGACACTGTCTGTGATTTATTTAGAATTCAAGACACACTTAACCAGCATGGCTACCACAGCATTCTGCAGCGATACGCCATCCCATCTGGTTTGGGCTTAGTGGGACTATCATTTGTTGTCTGGGTCTCTGTGTTTTTGATTAGATATATTTCTCAATGACTTTCTTAGATTTCTGCAATCATTATCAAACCATTTTTAATTATCTATTATTTTTGGTTTGCTCTTATGTTTCTTTAGATTAGCCAAGGAGGCTAATTTGTCAAATATAAAGTTTATGTTCCCAACGGCCAATGGTACACCTTCATTGCTGTAGAGAATGGTTAAAGGCTAAAAAGTTTCCAGAGAGATTGTAGTTTTTGGATACTAATTGCTTTTTGGTAGCTTTCTGTACTGTTTGCACTCCATCTATAGGCCTGTTTAGTACCATGTAATTTACTGGGCCATGATGCTTCATGATTGTGTTCCGCTCTTCTCAGATACGCTGTGATTTTACTGTGGTCTGAGAGAGGTGTTAGTGGGCTGACTGTGAAGACTCTGAGAGACTCTGGGTTGAGACTCTCTCTCTCTCTCAATTCAATTTAAGGGCTTTATTGGTATGGGAAACTCTCTAGGAGTCTGATAGATGGAGACACATAACAGAATAAGAGATCGAGAGAGGATAGCGCAGTATCTAAAACTCCAGCTCCTCTTTCTATCTCTCTCTCTACTCTCTCTCTCTCTCTCTCTCTCTCTCTCTCTCTCTCTCTCCCTCTCTCCCTCTCTCTCTCTCTCAATTCAATTTCAATTCAATTTAAGTGCTTTATTGGCATGGGAAACGTATGTTTACATTGCCAAAGCAAGTGAAATAGATAATAAAATATGAACAGTAAACATTACACTCACAAAAGTTCCAAAAGAATAAAGACATTTCAAATGTCATATTATGTATATATACAGTGTTGTAATGATGTGCAAATAGTTAAAGTACAAAAGGGAAAATAAATCAACATAAATATGAGTTGTATTTACAATGGTGTTCGTTCTTCACTGGTTGCCCTTTTCTTGTGGCAACAGGTCACAAATCTTGCTGCTGTGATGGCACACTGTGGTTTTTCACCCAGTAGATATGGGAGTTTATCCAAATTGGATTTGTTTTGGAATTATTTGTGGGTCTGTGTAATCTGAGGGAAGTATGTGTCTCTAATATAGCCATATATTTGGCAGGAAGTTAGGAAGTGCAGCTCAGGTCTGCCTACGGCGGCCTTTCTCAATAGCAAGGCTATGCTCTCTGAGTCTGTACATAGTCAAAGCTTTCCTTAAGTTTGGGTCAGTCACAGTGGTCAGGTATTCTGCCACTGTGTACTCTCTGTTTAGGGCCAAATAGCATTCTAGTTTGCTCTGGTTTTTTGGTAAGTCCTTCCAATGGTGTCCAAGTTATTTGGAATTCTTTACTTTTGTTTTCATGTTTGGTTAAAGAGCAGTGACGCTGTTGGGGATTTTGGATCTCTGTGTGAAGGCTTATGAAAGGTTTGGGATCCTTCTTAAGGTTACGATTTAAGTTTCTCTTTCGGATTTGGGATAGTGCGGGTATAGAATTGTCACATCTCTTTCGGAGGTAACCAAGGGGTTACGCCTACTTTAATTAGTCAAAGCTCAAACAAAAGATGTTGAAGTCCAAGGCACGTGTGAACACGGAACAGACAAATGTACACGTAGGCACAATACATCACGACGTAAATCACGACGACAAGAACCACTAAAACGAACCACAGAAAAGGTAAAACTAGATCCCCCAAGAGAAAAACGCACGCATGGAACGAACGAAAAGAGCACAAGAACATAACCACTGAAACACCACACAGACAACACAGAAAACAAAACGGACCAAAAACGAACATCAAACGAACGCACACACAAACAAAAGACAAGACGCAAAGACAAAAAAGAACACACTTCGAAAAAAAAAAATAAAGCAGAAACAGCCAACAACGACCAAACAGAAAATAAACAACAAGAGAAAGACACACAGACAAAAGACAAAAACACAAGTACAAAAAAAACACAAACAGAAAGAAACAAAAATACAAAACAAAAAAAAAAAAACACAAAACAAACATAACACTCACACACACAAAACAAACAAAAAAAAACCCACAAAAAACGACAACCAACACAAACACAAAACACCAACACCACACAACAACCACAACGAACCACCACAAAATAAAAAAACACACAAAAAACACAACACAAGAAAACACTAAACCCAACAACAAAACTACACAACACAAACAAACAAACTAAACCACAACACACAAACACACAAAACTACACAACACCACAACTACACCACAACTACAACACAACCACCAACACTAAACTACACACAAACAAAAACAACACAACACAACACACAAACACACACACACCACACACACACCACACTACAAACACAAACACAACAACACACTACAACACTAAACAACACAACAACCACACTACCACAACAACACAACAAACATACAACCAACACAATACACAACACACAAAGGAAAACGACAAAATAAACTACAAAAACATACAACACACAACACAAAAACTAAACAACATACAACTAAACACACAAACAAACACACTAAACACGACACACACACAACCAACAAAGAAAACAACAACAATAAACAACTAAACAAATAACCAAAAAAATACACACAAAACACAAACGACCACACTACACACAATACACAACCACACTACAACCAAAACACACAACATACACACACACCAAACATGACACATACACTAACCACCACAACACATAACACACCAACGAAACATAAAGCCTACACTACACAAACAAAGAAACTAACACAAAGATACCCATACAACAAAACAACAACACAGTGAATCCACTAACACTAATCTGACACGACAAACAACACACACACACACCACAAAACAGGAACATGCCAAAGGAAAAAACCATAAAAAAGAAAAAAAGGAACTGAACTCAAGAACAACTGAAAGAAACACAAACACAACCACACGACATACAAAACACACAAACCACACAAAAAAACACAACACACCACACGACAACACACAACAAAACAACACTACAGACCACACGACACACACACATACACCACACAAACACCACCAACACACACACCACACAACGCCACTACACTACACCACACACACCTACACCACCACAACACAACACAGACACACCACACACTACAAACACACGACAACGAAACACAAACAACAAACACTAACACCAACACACTAAAAGACCACAAGACAACCAAACGACACACAAAACGACAACAACCACAACGAAAAACACAACGAACACAAACACTACACACAAACAAGAAAACACCAAAATAACAAACACAAAAACAAAACCCAAAAACACAAAAACCAAAACAACCAACCAACGAAACAAACCACCACACACAAAAACAACAAACAACGACAACACAAACACACCAAACTACAACTACAAAAAAACAACACACACACACAAACACCACACAACACTACAACTCCCACAACACATACCACACACCACACACATTAACAACCAACTAACACACAACCAAACTACAACTACACCACCACACTACACTACCACTACCAAAACACACACCACAACTACAAACCACACTACACTACACAACACCACCACAACACAACCACAACACACCACACTACACCACCACACTACACCACCACCACACTACACTACCACACTACACACCACAAACTACAACAACACACTTTACTACTACAAACACTACACCACCACACTACACCACACTACACTACCACACTACACTACCACACTACCACACTACACCACCACACTACACTACCACACTACACTACACCACCACAAACGGTGTAGTTTTGAACACTGCCAAGTGGAATGGAGGAATGTTCCTTCATCTAAAACATAGGGAGGAGATATAAGGGTTGAACTTTGAACTCTAGATGGGGTGATACAGAGCTGATGGAGGAAGTTAAACTGGATCAGTCTGTATCTGGAGTTCAATGTGGAAGTAACCCCATCCCTGCATAGGTCACTCCATAGTCCCTCATCAAGATTAATACCCAGATCTTTTTCCCATCTAAGTCTGGATTTATCTAGTTCAGGTCCTGACGTACGAGCATTGTAAACACAGGAAATGGTCTTGAACAGTGGTCGGTCAGCATGGCAGAGTTGTTCAATAGGTGACATATTAGGTAGGTTCCTTTGGCCCTTGAGATTCACCTTAATAACATGCCATAGTTGCAGGTAACTAAAGAAGTCTTTGTTAGACAAGTGGTATTTCTGTTTCAGCTGTTCGAAGGACATAAGAATTCCCTCCTCATAAGAATGTTCCAGAAGAGTGATGCCCTTCTCAGACCACAGTCTAATGGTACTATTCTGGAAAAACATAGGGATCAATCTATTGTTCCATAGAGGGGTTTTAGGGGAAATAAATCCCTCTCGTCTGAACAGCTCATGCTGCAGTTTGCTCCATGTCAGGACAGAATGTATAATTAAAGGGTTGTCTGTGATAGTTTTTATAGATTTCATGTCCCATCTGTAAAACAATTCCTGCCCCAGTGTCCTCGTGTACCTCAAACGTTTCCACGTTCAACCATGAGGGAGGAGGACCGTTGTCAAACCACTGAGCCAGAAATCTAGACTGCGCAGCCCAGTAGTACATTCTGAAATTGGGGAGGTTTAAGCCCCCTTTGACCGTAATCAAGGGTCAGTTTGTCCAGGCTAACCCTAGGAGTTTTGCCGTGCCAGATAAACCGTCTGGTCAGCTTGTCGAGAGAGGAAAAGAATGCTGCGGGCACAGTGATGGGGAGAGATTGAGACAAATATAGAAATCTGGGCAGGACATTCATTTTAATGACATTCATTCTACCCAGTAGAGTGAGAGGCAAGTCCAGCCATTTACTCAGGTCACCCTCCACCTTTTGCAACAAGCTGGCCAGATTGAGTTTATAGAGGTTGCACAGGTCACCCTCCACCTTTTGCAACAAGCCGGCCAGATTGAGTTCATAGAGGTTGCTCAGGTTACCATCCACCATTATGCCCAAATATGTGAAGCCCATTGGCGACCATCTAAAAGGAAACTTATGCTTGATGGTATGATGGTCAAAGACAGACAACGGTAAGATTTCGCTTTTATCAAAATTAACCTTATATCCAGAGAAATAACTATAATACTGTAGTAGGTTATGTACGTGAGAGAGGGGATGTTTCTGGGTCCGTTTGAAATAAGATAAGGACGTCCGCAAAAAAGTGATAACTTATGGGTATGGGGGGCCCACCTCAAAGCCACGTTCTAATGGTCTCGGCCAATGGTTCGATGGCGAGGGCGAAGAGGTGGGGGCTAATTGGGCAACCTTGTCTGTTCCCCCTATAGAGAGGGAAAGAGGAGGAAGTAATCCCATTGGTAGCAATCCCAGCTGTAGGAGATTTGTAGAGTGATTTGATCAAATGTACAAACACGGTGCCTAAACCAAACTTTTCCTAGACGCAAAAGAGGTATGGCCATTCGACCCTATCAAAGGCCTTTTCGGCGTCGAGGGAGACTGCGACATTAGGTATTTTGTTTTTTGTTAGCAAGGTGAATTATATCAAAGAACCTTCTGAGATTTTTGGAGGACAATCTATTAATTGTGAAGCCAGTCTGATCTGACCAACAGTGGTAAACATGACTCCAGTCTCTCGGAGACGGGGTAGGACAGTGGTAAACATGACTCCAGTCTCTCAGAGAGGGGGTAGGACAGTGGGAGACATGACTCCAGTCTCTCAGAGAGGGGGTAGGACAGTGGGAGACATGACTCCAGTCTCTCAGAGAGGGGGTAGGACAGTGGGAGACATGACTCCAGTCTCTCAGAGAGGGGGTAGGACAGTGGGAGACATGACTCCAGTCTCCCAGAGACGGGGTAGGACAGTGGGAGACATGACTCCAGTCTCTCAGAGACGGGGTAGGACAGTGGGAGACATGACTCCAGTCTCTCAGAGACGGGGTAGACGGGAGCGCCGTCTTCAGGCGGGGTAGGACAGTGGGAGACATGACTCCAGTCTCTCAGAGACGGGGGTAGGACAGTGGGAGACATGACTCCAGTCTCTCAGAGACGGGGTAGGACAGTGGGAGACATGACTCCAGTCTCTCAGAGACGGGGTAGGACAGTGGGAGACATGACTCCAGTCTCTCAGAGACGGGGTAGGACAGTGGGAGACATGACTCCAGTCTCTCGGAGACGGGGTAGGACAGTGGGAGACATGACTCCAGTCTCTCAGAGAGGGGGTAGGACAGTGGGAGACATGACTCCAGTCTCTCAGAGAGGGGGTAGGACAGTGGGAGACATGACTCCAGTCTCTCAGAGAGCATCTTGGTGACCAGTTTACTTTCCGTATTAAGGAGAGAGATTGGTCTATAGGAGGAGCACTTTAGCGGGTTTTTTCCATTTCTTGTGAATTACTGTAATCACCGCTTGATAGAAAGACTCTGGAAAGTGGTTGTCCTCCCCGGCTTTGTTAAGTACCTCCTAAAGGTAGGGTGCAAACAGCTCCTTAAATTCTTTATAGAACTCTGCAGGGAAGCCATCCTCCACAGGAGATTTATTAGAAGGTAAGGATTTAATGGCCTCCAACAATTCAGGGACTGAGAACTGTTCTCTCAGGTGCTCTCTGTCCTCCTCTGACAGGCACGGGAGACAGAACTGTTAACTCAGTCGCTCTCTGTCTTCCTCTGACAGGCATTGGAGGTTGAGACAGGAGAGAAAAGAGTTGATCTCTGATAGATCATCGCTTGATTGGGAAGTATAGAGGTCCTCGTAATATTTCTTAAAAGTATCATTGATTTCAGTAGGGTCGAAAGATATCTCGTTAGTAAGAGTTTCTATAGCATTAATTGGCCTCTTACTTTCCTCTGCTTTTAGTTGCCATGTCAACACTTTGTGTGCTTTCTCTTCAAGCTCGTAGTAACGCTGTTTTGATTTAGTGATGGCCCTCTCAGATTGATACGTGTTCAGAGTATTATATTTCCGTTTTTTTGTTTACCAAAATCCTGTATGGGTCTTTCATCGGACCTCTGGTAGGTTTTCTCTAGCTCAGAGATTTCAGCTTCAAGGACATTCAGTTCGGCACCGTGTTTCCTCTTCAACCCTTTAGTATAGGCAATGATCTGTCCCCTCAAATAGGCTTTCGATGCGTCCCAAAGAATGAAACTGTCAGGAGCCGAGGTATGTATCGTTTTTTGTGTGCTCTAGGGCAACGGTGTCTAGATGGAATTTGTATTTGTGGGCCTGGCAACTGGACCTTTTTTGGAACGTCATTATTTTTGTCTTACTGAGATTTACTGTCAGGGCCCAGGTCTGACAGAATCTGTGCAGAAGATCTAGGTGCTGCTGTAGGCCCTCCTTGGTTGGGGACAGAAGCACCAGATCATCAGCAAACAGTAGACATTTGACTTCAGATTCTAGTAGGGTGAGGCCGGGTGCTGCAGACTGTTCTAGTGCCCTCGCCAATTCATAGATATATATGTTGAAGAGGGTGGGAATTAAGCTGCATCACTGTGCATCACTGTTTCACCCCACGGCCCTGTGAAAAGAAATGTGTGTGTTTTTTGCCAACTTTAACCGCACACTTGTTGTTTGTGAACATTGATTTTATGATGTCGTATGTTTTTCCCCCAACACCAATTTCCATCAATTTGTATAGCAGACCCTCATGCCAAATTGAGTCAAAATATTTTTTTAAATCAACAAAGCATGAGAAGACTTTGCCTTTGTTTTGGTTTGTTTGTTTGTCAGTTAGGGTGTGCAGGGTGAATACGTGGTCTGTCGTACGGTAATTTGGTAAAAAGCCAATTTGACATTTGCCTTGCTCTCTCTGTCTCTCTCTCTCTCTGTCTCTGTCTCTCTCTCTCTCTCTCTCTCTCTCTCTCTCTCTCTCTCTCTCTCTCTCTCTCGTTAGTTCCCCTGTGTGACAGCAGCTATGTCCCTGTGAGAACAGGCTAAACAAACAGGCAGCTCCATCACTCACAGACATGTGGCAGAGAAACTCTCTCAATCCTCCAGAGCCACCACCCTGCCCCCAGCCCCCAGCCCCCAGTTAACCCCCCCAGCCACACAACGCTGCCCCTCGCCACACAGCCACAACTCACAAACCCACCACCTCCTCTAGCCCCCCCCCCCCCCCCCCCTCCTCAGCACCAAGTCCCAAATACTGGCCCCTCATACCACAGCCCCTAGACTGAAGCATAGCCCAGCCCCTAGACTGGAGGAGGAAGGAAGAAGGGGGAGGGAGGAGGAGGGAGGGGGAGGTGGGATTATTCTGATTCCCATTCACTGAATGTCAGCAGCTCACAAAGGGGACAGCATGACACTGGCACTAAATCAGAGTCAATAGACTGCTTTCTCAGCCCTGAGACATGACAGGGGGCGTGCCAACCAGGACCAGGCGTGTGAGAGAGTGGGAGGAAGGGAGTGTGAGAGAGAGAGAGAGAGAGAGAGAGAGAGGCTGGTTGCCTCCATTGAAGGGGCGTAAGGTCTGAGTGTGTGATAGAGTGAGAGGAGATGGGAGCATGTTGTTCAGCCCTCGGCATTATGCTGGGCACACACACACACAACACACACACACACACACAACACACACACATACAACACACAAACAAACACACACACACACAACACACACACACACACACAACACACACACACAAAACACACACACACACACACACACACAACACACTCACACTCACACAAAACACACACACAACACACACAGGCGATGAGCAGAGGGAGCATGTTGTTGATGTTGTTGTTCAGCCCTCCCTGGACATTACGCTGCTGGAGGACCAAACAACACTGAGTCTCATTCAGCATGTTGTTCATGTTGTTGGTCTGTCACTAATGTACCGGTAGGTGGATGTTCATCATATGTACTGTTTGACTGGTCTGTCAATGATCTACAGTTCAGCTCATTGGTGTGAAAGGAACAATAAAGCACAGCATCAATCATGAAGGAACCCCTTTAACATTAGAACACACACACACACACACACACGCACACACAAACACAACACACACGCACACACAAACACACACACACACACGCACACACAAACACACACACGGAACATGTTTGGAACATAGGCAATCAATCAAACTTGTAAAGTGTGGGTCCTTCATCGGCTCACCAGCCAGACTAGTTGGTGATGGTGATGTTGTTGTTGATTAGCATCTGAACAGTGATGTCACTATGAGGAGACAGACTGGGGGACCTGCAAGTTGAGAGGCACTTGTTTTCACCCCTGCCTCGCTCCATATCCCTTCCTTCCTTCATTCCTCCTTCCTTCATCCCTCCCTTCCTTCCTCCATTCCTCCATCCCTCCATTCTATCACAGGGGGCTGGGGTGGAGATGAGTGAGGGGGACATTAGTGTCAGTTACACACCTGTTGCACCCCCTGCATATCCTCTGAGTAGAAGGAGGGGTGGGCAGAGGGAGAGAGACAGGGGGGAGGCAGAGAGACAGAGGGGGAGGCAGAGGGAGAGAGGGGGAGGCAGAGGGATAGAGGGGGAGGCAGAGAGACAGAGGGGCAGGCAGAGGAAAACACTCATCAAGAGGCGGCGCTCCTAGTGGCCGGGGACTTTAACGCAGGGAAACTTCTTTTTTTAAAACTCTAGACCACCTTTACTCCACACACAGAGACGCATACAAAGCTCTCCCTCGCCTTCCATTTGGAAAATCTGACCATAATTCTATCCTCCTGATTCCTGCTTACAAGCAAAAACTAAAGCAGGAAGCACCAGTGACTCGGTCAATAAAAAAGTGGTCAGATGAAACAGATGCTAAGCTACAGGACTGTTTTGCTAGCACAGACTGGAACATGTTCTGGGATTCTTACGATGGCATTGAGGAGTACACCACATCAGTCACTGGCTTCATCAATAAGTGCATCGATGACTGTACGTACATACCCCAACCAGAAGCCATGGATTACAGGAAACATCCGCACTGAGCTAAAGGGTAGAGGGTAGAGCTGCCGCTTTCAAGGAGCGGGACTCTAACCCGGAAGCTTATAAGAAATCCCGCTATGCCCTCCTACGAACCATCAAACAGGACTAAGATTGAATCGTACTACACCGGCTCTGACGCTCGTTGGAAGTGGCAGGGCTTGCAAACTATTACAGACTACAAAGGGAAGCACAGCCGCAAGCTGCCCAGTGACATGAGCCTACCAGACGAGCTAAATTACTTCTATGCTCGCTTCGAGGCAAGCAACACTGAAACATGCATGAGAGCATCAGCTGTTCCGGATGATTGTGTGATCACGCTCTCCGTAGCTGATGTGAGTAAGACCTTTAAACAGGTCAACATTCAGACGGATTACCAGGACGTGTACTCCGAGCATGCGCTGACCAACTGGCAAGTGTCTTCCCTGACATTTTCAACCTCTCCCTGTCTGAGTCTGTAATACCAACATGTTTCAAGCAGACCACCATAGTCCCTAAGGTAACCTGCCTAAATGACTACCGACCCGTAGCACTCACGTCTGTAGCCATGAAGTGCTTTGAAAGGCTGGTCATGGCTCACATCAACACCATTGTCCCAGAAACCCTAGACCCACTCCAATTTGCATATCGCCCCAACAGATCCACAGATGATGCAATCTCTATTGCGCTCCACACTGCCCTTTCCCACCTGGACAAAAGGAACACCTATGTGAGAATGCTGTTCATTGACTACAGCTCAGCGTTCAACACCAAAGTGCCCTCAAAGCTCATCACTAAGCTAAGGACCCTGGGACTAAACACCTCCCTCTGCAACTGGATCCTGGACTTCCTGACGGGCCGTCCCCAGGTGGTAAGGGTAGGTAACAACACATCCGCCACGCTGATCCTCAACACGGGGGCCCCTCAGGGGTGCGTGCTCAGTCCCCTCTTGTACTCCCTGTTCATCCATGACTGCATGGCCAGGCACGACTCCAACACCATCATTAAGTTTGGCGACGACACAACAGTGGTAGGCCTGATCACCGACAACGATGAGACAGCCTATAGGGAGGAGGTCAGAGACCTGGCCGTGTGGTGCCAGGATAACAACCTCTCCCTCAATGTGATCAAGACAAAGGAGATGATTGTGGACTACAGGAAAAAAAAGAGGACTGAGCACGCCCCCATTCTCATCGACGGGGCTGTAGTGGAGCAGGATAAGAGCTTCAAGTACCTTGGTGTCCACATCACCAACAAACTATCATGGTCCAAACACACCAAGACAGTCGTGAAGAGGGCACGACAAAACCTATTCCTCCTAAGGAGACTGAAAATATTTGGCATGGGTCCTCAGATCCTCAAAAGTTTCTACAGCTGCACCATTGAGAGCATCCTGACTGGTTGCATCACCGCCTGGCATGGCAACTGCTCGGCCTCCGACCGCAAGGCACTACAGAGGGTAGTGCGTACGGCCCAGTACATCACTGGGGCCAAGCTTCCTGCCATCCAGGACCTCTATACCAGGCGGTGTCAGAGGAAGGCCCTAAAAATTGTCAAAGACTCCAGCCACCCTAGTCATAGACTGTTCTCTCTGCTACCACACGGCAAGCGGTACCGGAGCGCCATGTCTAGGTCCAAGAGGCTTCTACACAGCTACAAGCCATAAGACTCCTGAACACCTAATCAAATGGCTACCCAGACTATTTGCATTGCCCCCCACCTCTCTTTTAAGCTGCTGCTACCCTCTGTTTATTATCTATGCATAGTCACTTTAATAACTCTACCTACATGTACATATTACCCCAATTACCTCGACTAACCGGTGCCCCCGCACATTGACTCGGTACCGGGGAGGCAGAGAGACAGAGGGGGAGGCAGAGAGAGTGACAACCCCAGAAAGACAAAGGGGGAGGCAGAGAGAGAGAGAACCCCATAGAGACAGAGGGGGAGGCAGAGAGACAGAGGGGGAGGCAGAGAGACAGAGGGGGAGGCAGAGAGAGTGACAACCCCAGAAAGACAGAGGGGGAGGCAGAGAGAGAGAACCCCATAGAGACAGAGGGGGAGGCAGAGAGACAGAGGGGAGGCAGAGAGACAGAGGGGGAGGCAGAGAGACAGAGGGGGAGGCAGAGAGAAGAGAACCCCATAGAGACAGAGGGGGAGGCAGAGAAACAGAGGGGGAGGCAGAGAGACAGAGGGGGAGGCAGAGAGACAGATGGAGGCAGAGAGACAGAGGGGGAGGCAGAGAACAGAGGGGGAGGCAGAGAGAGAGAGAGACCCCATAGAGACAGAGGGGGAGGCAGAGAGACAGAGGGGGAGGCAGAGAGACAGAGGGGGAGGCAGAGAGAAAGAGAACCACAGAGAGACAGAGGGGGAGGCAGAGAGAGAGAGAACCCCATAGAGACAGAGGGGGAGGCAGAGAGACAGAGGGGGAGGCAGAGAGAAAGAGAACCCCATAGAGACAGAGGGGGAGGCAGAGAGACAGAGGGGGAGGCAGAGAGACAGAGGGGGAGGCAGAGAGAAAGAGAACCACAGAGAGACAGAGGGGGAGGCAGAGAGAGAGAGGGGGAGGCAGCGAGAGAGAGAACCCCAGAGAGACAGAGGGGGAGGCAGAGAGACAGGGGGGAGGCAGAGAGAGAGAACCCCCAGAGAGACAGAGGGGGGAGGCAGAGAGACAGGGGGGAGGCAGAGAGACAGAGGGGAGGCAGAGAGACAGAGGGGGAGGCAGAGAGACAGGGGGGGAGGCAGAGAGAGAGAGAACCCCATAGAGACAGAGTTGGGATCAGGAAGAAGAGCAAGAAGGGGGAGTGAGAGAGTACAGAGGGGAGGCAGAGAGACAGAGGGGGATCGCAGGAGAGACAGGGGGGGGGAGGCAGAGAGAGAGAGAACCCCATAGAGACAGAGGGGGAGGCAGAGAGGAAGGGGGGAGGCAGGAGACAGAGGGGGGCAGAGAGACAGAGGGTAGGCAGAGAGACAGAGGGGGAGGCAGAGGGACCAGAGGGGGAGGCAGAGAGGACAAGGGGGGAGGCCAGGAGAGAGAGAGAGAACCCCATAGAGACAGAGGGGGGCGGCCAGAAGAGAGACAACGGGGGGAGGCAGCGAGAGACAAGAGTGGAGAGGCAGAGAGACAGAGGGGAGGCAGGAGATACAGCCGGGGGGAGGCAGATAGACAGAGGGGGAGGCAGAGAGACGGGGGGGGGGGGGGAGGCAGAGAGCGAGAGAGAACTCCATAGAGACAGAGGGGGAGGGCAGAGAGAACAGGGGGGAGGGCAGAGAGACAGGGAGGCAAGAGACAGAAGGGGAGGCTGAGAGACAGGCACCCCATAGAGACAGAGGGGGAGGCGAGAGCCAGGGGGGGAGGCAGAGGCTAACACAGGGGAGGCAGAGGGGAGAGAGGGGTGAGACAGAGAGGCACAGAGCGCCGCATCGCCCCAGGTACCAGGCTCATTAGCAGATAAAAGCGACCTTTCCCCCTGACCCCTGAACCAAGAGGTTGCCATGGAGTCTGCCAGTCCCGGCCTGGCTGGAGCATCTGGAATGATCTCAGCGGGGCGGAATGAATACGAGGCTGCCCGGGAGAATTATTAAGATCCCCCTTCCTCACTTCCCCCCCCCACCCATGTCTCCCCCCAACCCTCCACCCCCTTCCTAGACTATTGCTCCCCCACATTGGTATTTAGACACTTCATCCTCTTGAACTCAACTTTCTTGAAGTTATGCTCAAACTCAATGTGCACCTGCTCTCTCCTCTCTCTCTCTCTTCTCATCTCTCTATCCCTCTCTCTCTCTGTCTCTCTCTCCTAATTCCCCCCTCTCTCGCTCATCTCTCTCCTCTATCTCTCTCTCTCCTCTCTCTCTCTCTCTCTCTCTCCTCGTCTCGTCCTCCTCTCTCTCTCTCTCC